CTAATTATCATCAATAATAAAAAGTGACTTTTCCCAAGGTAGACTGTGGAGAAGAAAAGCAAGGAGAATTGAACCATCTGAACCAATTTCCATGGGTAACAGGCAACAGGCTTTTAATTTTGCATTCATTTAAAAAAATACTACTTGATTTCAGATAGAGACTGCCTTATGGCCACAAGTGTGGTCTAGATGATCTACTTGATGCTGGCACAGCACTCGTATGAAGGAGAGATCCAATCTGATCAGTATGCGCTGAGCTGGGGCAGGTAAAATTGGGTCATCTTCCCATCAACTGTATCTATGAAATGAAACTTCCTTCTTAGTTATTTTAGTTACATTTTTTTACCTATCATTGGCCCAGCTTATGGATAAACAGTACGGGATATCTGGAAAACCACAGAATTTTACTGTATTCAAGTGATATTTCTATATAAACCCTTTTGCTTTGCAGATGACTATCATCTTTCCACCCTGGAGACTGACAGTGGTGGCAATGTGGCTCACTTTGAATATCCTTGTACTTGAAGTCTTAAGAGAGCGTGGCATTTAGTCCTTGTGACACCATCTGGCTTTCACATCAATCTCTAGCAAGCAACTGGCACCCCCGGGGCTAGTGAAGGGATTGACTGTTAATTTGGAGACTAACTGTGAGTCTAGGTATCCACTCCCCTCCTCTCCAACCTTCCTACTACTCTGACAGGTAGCTGTATGTAAACGAGAGCTGGTGGTTTTCAGCGGAGCGTCCAGCTGAGGTACAAACGATTTCCCATCTGGCTCACGTCAGTTATGTACTCGCAGTGCTGAGTTGAAGGGTATTTCAATTCCCTGTGGCAACTCTGAAAATCATGGCACCTAGATCAGAGGAGGCAGAAGCTCTTATAATGAGGTTGGGCTCTGTCCCACAAACGAAGTATGTGTTGGGGGAGGGTGCAGAATAACGTTCTAGAGAGAGCTTGGTTCAACCGTGCATTCTCTGCACAACACTTTACACCTCTGAAGAGTTGCAATTCTAGCTTTCCTTGCTCTTTATTCCTATCCATCCATCCACCTTCCTCACACCCTTTCCCCCTCTTTCCCAATACTTTTTTATTCTATATACTTCACCAGGCCTACATGAGGTGCTGGAGATATAGCCACGAACTCTGAATTGCAATTGTCTGTGTAGAACTCAAAAGCACAGCACATTTGTGGAGTAAATGAAAAGGTAAGGCCTTTCTATGCTAAATTGCTGAAGATAGATTGTAATCTGGAAAGCAACACACACACATACACACCACCACCACCTCGTTGCTTTTCAGTGGTTGCTTATTTAAGGTTGCCCTTTATTCTGCAGTGTCCTCTTGCCTAACAAACTGTTTCTGAGAAATGAGAAGCCAGTTCACCGGGCCTGTGCTTTTCTACTGCCCCACTGTTGTTAAACAGTGAGATCAACAATCGGGCATCTGAGCTGCTATGAAAGTTGTACTTTTTAAAAGTCAAGAGAAAGGGAGAGATTCTTATTTCATCCTTAAGTCAGAAGCTCCCGGGAACTAAACTAGAGTTCTGAGCTCTTCTCAAATTTCTCTGATAAAGACATTCTTGGTTACTTACCTCTTATTACACCTTTTCAATAATCAAGAGATGTCAGAGGGAGTTGTCTCTTACACATGGGTCTTACATATTATAGTATGTCATGAAAAGCACTAAACTCAATATGGTGAGGGTAAGCTTTTAATTCTTTGATGTAAGCACTTCATCTTTTTTGACCTAATAATTGGTGAAATACAACTAAAAGTGAAAGCATCAAAGTTTTAATTTGTAAAACTTTTTTTTTTTTTTTAATTTTGGTATGAGACCTGTGTGGCTACTACCTGCCCCATAACATGGCAGATCGTGCCCATTTCCCCAGTCCCGCATGCAGACCTCCTGTGCCTTAAGTGATGTGTACTGGTAACTACAAATGCTGATGTGTTGCTTAGCAACAAGAGATGAGTGTTCAACTCCTCATTCTCATACAGTAAGCCCAAACCACTCAATTTTTCCCAGAAACTTAATGCTTCATTTTCCTAGAAGCACCATCTAGTGGCCAAAGGTGAAAACCACAACAAGCATAGGAGACATTCTGTTAACAGTTTAAAGGCTAATTTCAAGAATTTTTGGTGGCTTTAGAAGTACAATTGTTAGGCAAAACTTTTAAGATATCAAATATAAAGGGTCAAGATTTGAGGTGAGTTTGAATTTGAGCCTTGTTAAAAATTCTTAATTATACGGCATTGGACAATTCTCTAACCCTCAACTTGCTAATGTACACCAGACATGCTATCTCCCAGGGTGGCTGTGGGAAAATTTGGCATTCACAGTATTTTCCTTTTCCAGTTGAAAATGTACAAACTACCTTAAGGATAAAGATAAGCTCTCTATCATGTTGGCCAAGCATCAGTGACTTAATCACATTTTAAATGAAAGGCCACTGTGCTGCTTTGGGCAGTAATGCTCAAGCACGAGTTTCAAAATAAGTCCATTAAAAAGCTTGAAAATCCAGGCATGAAAAAGAGTAGAGAGGACACACTTGTGTGTAGGTTCTAACAACATAGGAGAGAAGAAATAATAGGTTGGCGGGGGGTGGGGCGCAGGCACCAGTGTCTTAATTCCCTCAACAGTGGGGATGGAGGTTCAGATTCTCATCAGATTGGCTGAGTGAAGAGCTACCGTCTAGCTTCCTTCAGAGCCAAAGGCATCCTGTCAGGAACGTTTCTGATAAGTCAGTTATATCTGACATTTGGAGGCACTCCCCGTTGCAGCCCCCTGCCCCTCCCCAAATATTCACGACATCCCAACTTCATACCAATCTTGCAAAGAGAATAAAGTTAGTACAATATTTAGCTTCGAATCTTCAAGAGTTAGCACGTGTACTTTCACTTTTTCTGTTGGAGGATAAGAGAATGATTTATATCCATCAAGTTCATTCTCTTGCCTTTGTGGGGGGCTTCAGGGAATGACAGGTTTTCTAACCAACAGGAAGAAACACAACTGTGATCCATAAAGGTCAATCTTGAAGAGAATACTTTGTGATGTGATGCCAAGATTTAAATCAAGTAACTTGGGACAGGCTAATGAGAAGTTTCAGGCAAAGCAGGATCTAATTTAACAGCAGGAACATTCTTAATGAAAAGTTCAAGAATATTGTGTTTTTCTGTTCAGTCCATGAGTTCAGACCCCTCAGAGCCAAAGTTCTCCAAGAGCCCAAGGTAGCTCAGGTCCCTGGAGCAGTGCTCGGGAGGTTTGGTCTCCCAAAGTGCTATCGTTTCATTGAACTATGGATTAAATAAGCTTTGAGACCTAAGAGCTAGCAGCCCAGCCACCTCAATTCAGTTTCCCATGGAAATAACACTGTTCCGAATGGGTAAGTTCAGAAAACAAGATCAAGAAATTCAGATCACTATCCTAACTTCTGTTTAACCTGTAGAGATATTGTGACCCTAGACTCAATTTTATCACTAGCTTTTTACATAACAAAACTGTTACCTGTTAAGTGGATGGGAATCAAGTGCCATTTACTTTACAGAAATGAACATATGTACTAACTTCCTGAAGCTCCCACAACTGAGCAGCAGCAGAACCCGTAGAGAAGTGGGATTTTTACATGTGAATCTGCACAGCCAGTCTCTTGCTGTCTTCCCTCCCCCCTTCACTTACATGTGTAAGTAAAAGTTTTCCTTTTGATTGGCTTGTAAAGTCGTAAGCAGGTCAAAGTAGCTAACACTACCTAGAATTTCAAGAAAGCTGACCTGACAATACTCTTCCTCTGTTAAAACGGAACAAAATCGGTAGGTTAAAAATGCCAAGCTATCTAGATGTGGGTCTGTGCCTGCCCTCACAAACAGTTCCATTAAGATGAGATTTACTGTTTGGAAGGTCCACAGTTCACCAATGAGAAAATAAAGGAGAAATCCTTATGTCAAAACCTACATCCCTCACAGAGGATCATTAAATCCCGTTTTCTTCATGTTTTAGTTTCTGTAAAGCGCATTACTAGGATTTTTATCATTTCCCAGTTTAAATAGCAGTGCCTAAGCAATCAGGAACTTGCACCTCTTCGCAAGCAGAGAAAAAATGAGCGACACAACCGTTAAGGACAACATTTATTGCTACCAGAGGCTTTTATCATCAGCACATGGTTGGTTCTGATTGCAATACCTTATTCAGACTGCACAGGGAGCTCAGGATCCAGAAGGCATTAAGAGAAATACAGATAGGCTTGGGAGGCAGAGGGAATAACTTTTATCAAGAAAATCCTAATAGCTTAACATAAAACTAGGGCACTGAATTCAGTTATTACATGTTACAGACCCAGATCATAGAGTTGCCCTAATATCTCGACAGTCTCTCCTACTGATTATACTGTGAAAAGGAGCCGATCAGTTACCCAAAAAATAAATCAAATTTTAGTTGTTACATGTTTCTTTGGTGAGCACCTGGATACATTAACTTGATCACAAATTTTAGTATAAATGTCAAAAATGCTTTCAACAAATCTGAGTGTCCTAATTACATGCCACTTTTAAGCTTAAGATAAATAAAAATTTCATTTCCAAACACTAGATATTGAAATAAGACAAACACAGAAATCAACATGGTAATGTGAGTCCTTTTTATATTACCACCTCTAATTCATATGGGGCAATTTTAAAGTATCCTTTCAGATTAATCTGAATTTGAATCATGGATTAAAACATGGCTGTTAAACTGGAATAATTTGTTCACTAAATTGCTAAAAAATAATTTTGATGGTTTCCTAATCTGTGGAAGTCAGGCTATAAGATCAACATGCATAAAATTCATTTAAGTATTTAATGAAGAAGCAAGCGAAAGCAAGAGGAAAATTAAGTCAGGACACTGGGGATAGGTTTGCTAGCTAAGAATTTTAGAGCTTTTAAAAAAAAGCACTGAATGAATTATTGACAAGGCAATCGACATTACATTTTAGCAGGGAAGGTTGGAACTGAAAAATATACAAAGAAATTTTTTACTTCAAAAAAATGGTTGGATCTTTTGAATTTTACACTCTTTTGGTCTTTAAGTGCTTAAATAACATTGAATTATAATTAGCCACACAAGTAAATGATTCTTTTTTTTTCTGGCTCACTTCAAATCAGCCCGATAAGGTAAACCTTTATCCAGCCTTCCCTGGTTTTCCATGTTCCCATTCACAAAGTAGTAACTCCTGAACTACATGACAGAAACAGGCTGCAAAGGTGGACATGGGGAAGCCTGCCCCTCCTGCCTTGACAAATCAGTGCCACACACAGAACCCACGTTTTCTGAAGCATTATCTTCGTTATAGAGCCGTTTGATTCCATCATAGAAGTCATCCACTTCCATTTCCTCTACTTTGCGCTTAGCAGAGGTCTGTTTGCACCCACTGGCAGATGGGAGATGACAGAAGGCTGCTGTACTTCTGACTGGCACCTCTGGTTTGCTGTTGTCCTTGGAGAAAACTGGGCCTGGGACAGAGGAGGAATGTAATCTGAACACTCCTTTGTCACAGGTCTCCAGGGTGTGCTTGAGGGGACGGTAGACATAAACGGAATTTAGACGCAGGGAAGACCGCAGAGTAGAAAGGTGATGTCCCAGAAGCTCCCGACAGTGGATCACCTGGGAGACATCCATCTGGGCCAGAGGGGAAAAAGGTGATGATTAATGTAGAATGCTCTGTCATCTTTGCTGGCCGCTTTCCCTCCCTGTGCCCCTTGGACCCCCAGGTTTCTTTTTTCCCACCCCCTATCTTCTACCTCAAACTCGTCTATTCCTCCAGCCTTAGGAGTTATGTCCAAATCTGTATTTCTAATATAAATCTCTTTGGAACTTGAATTCTGTATTTGCATTTGTATGCTGAACATCTTCACAAAAGCAGAAACTATTCTCTTGTTCACTGCTATATAGTATAGACGTTAGCTTTTGTTCAGTCTAGTCCCCCTGCGTAGGACCTTCACCTCACACACTGCCTCTTCGAGTCTCTTCAGTGAAGACCAAGATACAGATAAACACAAAATTTATTAAGAATTTAAGGAAGGAGCCAGAGGCAAGAAAAAATTTAAATAAAGGATGGGGAAGGCTGTCTGGCCTTTAAAATAAAACAGAAAATGAGAACTTTTGACAAGTCCTATTTTTGTGGAAGACAACAGGCTTGACACTAGGAAGAAATGTTTTTAATTTGGGGGTTACACTAACTCCTTGTTATCCTTTAGAGGAGTCCAGGTATCCTTCCTTTCTGAAGCCACCCTTTACTCCTGCCAGCCTCCTACACACCCGAAGTCCAGGATCATCTATTTCTATATCAACCTGTCATCAAACTTATCACATTATAGTAGAATAATCTATTTAAACATTTAGCTTTTCCATTATAGACTACAAGATCCCAAGAGGTAGGCATTGTTTCATATTCATTTTTATTCCTTAGGTTTCTAGCATAATGACTGTACATGGAAGGCCTTTAAAATCTTACCTCTTGTAAAGAGTCTAATTAGTCTCTCTGCTCTCCTCTCCCTGTAAATATAGCTGCGGTCAAAATAATCTTACTCTAGCAACGTATATTTCTCTCTTGTTCAGATTTCTTTAGTGGCACCCCAATGCCTACCAGCAATAAGCTAGCCTAAGATTGATAATAAGGCTCTCCACAATCTTACCCCACCTTTTGTTTCCAGCCTTATCTCCTAGCATATCCCAATTTGTACTCACCTTTCCTGGCAAATGGGCCTGCTCTCTATTCTGTACAATTCTTGCCCTTTCTTACTTTATCCTTTCTCATTCTGTTTCTACTTACTGAAATTGTATTAACTATTCGTTCAGGTTGGGCTAACTGCCACCGCCCTCCAGGAAGCCTATCTTTACTATTTAACTGTAAAGGGATCACTTTCTAGTCTTGTGTATTTCATAAGCATTTTTGGACATTTCTTAACCAAATCTTATTCATACTTATATAGCCTGCAGCACACAGCATGACTGTTTGCAATACCACAAAGAAAATAAAGGAAAATAACATGCTCTGCAAGAACACATTTGGTCACAAAATTATTTTTATCTCTAAATATATTCATTCTTGTAGCCCAGGAAAACTGGAACAAAGCACACAGAAGAGGGATGAGTCTTCAAAGCTCTTTAAGGCAACTGATACCCTAGCCAGTACACTTCAAGAAGCCTACAAAGGAGAGGTAGTAGAAATGAAAGACAGAAATTGGGAAGTGAAGACTATTATTTTAGGCAAAAAGAAGCCTACTAATATTATTTCTAGAAAGTACCTAGTTTAATGAACTGTTCTTTAGCAAATGAATGATACTTAGTGGCCTAGAAAAGTAAAAGTATCACAAATATTCTAATGCCTTGATCATGAGGCATAATATCACAGCAGAATCCTGGGGGGTGGAGGGGGCACACACACATGACACACACACACATATTTTTCACGTAAAAGACTATGTCACTATAATATTTCTCTGTGAAAAAGTAAACAGGGAGTTAGTATTTTAGAGGTGAGAACTAGGAGAAAATGACAGAGCTAGAAAGACACTGGAGATTAAACATTGAAAGATTACAAGGGAGACATTCAAATAGGTTACTAATGGGAAGGGAGAACAGAATAGCATGACATAAGTGATAGGTTCAGACGGACCCAGGTTCACTGGGCAGCATGAAGCACTGAAATATCCTACCTCAGTAGTCTGACCTTAGGCATCTTTGAGAAGAACTGGGAGAGCCTGATGAGCAGGGGCTGCTGCTTTAACTTCTTGCTCTAATTTTAAGCTACACCACAGCAGGGATCATTTAATGGGACTGCTGCCTGACTAACGACTAGGGAGACCACCATACTAATTTGGGTAGGGTTAATATCCTGAGATTATCAAGGTGGGCCACATCAGTCAAAAAGAGGACGTGAGTATAGCCACCAAAGTAGAGCAATGAGAGAAGTGGTAAGAAGAGAAAAAGGTTTAGCTATCCCAGAATGGTGGCCAACAGGCAGCAAGAGAACTATGAAGAGCAAGACGAAGTTTGCCTTTCAAACCAGGGAACACTCACTGAATTTTGAAGTCCAGAGGGAACATAGGCAGAGCTAGTGATAGAGGCCCTTTCACGGCATGAGATATCTGTGATGGACTATTGGCAGTCCTCTTAAACCAGAACACTAGAAAACGTGTCAGAAGTAATTCTGGCATGATCTCATCAATCTGATGCAAGAATTTCCTATACTAGAACCAGAAACCCAGGAGAAATATCTGATATTACTGTGGCCTTGTCACAGGTCTAATTACAAAGACATTAGACCTGGTGTTCCTACCTAAACACAGGTGAACTTAGCAAAAGCAGAACTGAATCTTGAAGAATTAGGAGCCACCAGGTTTGGGCTACAGGGGTTGGCCACAAGTCCACGATGGTTTAGAGAACTGCTAAGACCAAAAATCTCTAGTTTTGTAACCTTCCTTGTTTTTAACTATCTTCCGTATTATAACTTGAATACTACATGGGGCAGAGACTTTTTTTTGTTTGTTTTTTAAAGAATTACGGTATCCTGGTGCCTAGATCATTGATTTCTCAATAAATGTTTGTGAATATAACTACTTATATATTATTTAAGAGACTGGAACAGCAGTTTTCAAACAATGTCCAAAGAGCTTACGTAAGGAAAGAGGCCATGTTGAGTACAATAGGTCTCTGCCCCAAATATTTCACTAAGTAGTATTTTTCTACTTTGTATTGTGTGTGTGTGTATATATATATATATATATATATGGTTTTGTCGGGGGTGAGGGAAGGGTTCCAGTTCTAAAAGAAATTCTGAAAACCACTGACTAGAAGCTTTAAGGTTGGTATGGAAAAAGCATGGGTTCTCTTTTGTCTTCTTTACTACTAAGTAGTCCTGTGTGTCTCTGAGGAAGTCTCAAGTTCCTTGGACTGCAGGTATAAACTAAAAGAGTTGAATGAAATGATTTCTAAGAAGATTCCTTCAAATTCCAAGTTTGTGATACTCCTTCAGTGAAAGGAGAAACAAGTATCAGTGAACATTTTCTTCTTAGTGAACACTTGCTGCTTCTACCACCAGAAGACATAGGAAAGGGCTAATCAGATTCTCCAGTGCTCTTCAACAGAGAACAAGCCCTCAAAGCTACATGCTATTTACAACATTCTTATTACTGATGCTTCAAAGTCTGTCCTTTCTCTGTAACAGTGACACTTTATATAGCAATTTTTTGTGTATTAGCTTGGGAATAGGCACAGAAACCAAGTCAGGAGGCATTTAGAGATACGCCATCTATACCAATAAAAAAATAAAAAATATAATGTAGGACGTTTCTATTAATGTCCCTTCCCCCACTTCCGGTCTAATGTAATGTAATGTAATGTAATGATTACTAATACTCAACTTCATTTTCCAACACTCTAGGTGGGCAAAATAAATTTGGTGGTTTATGATACTTTCTAAAAATACTAGCAACTATCTCTTAGGATTTATTTTCATTACAGTATTTACTTCAATGGAAAGAAACACTTCTCAATTATTTCAATCTAAGGTATGCTGTTAAAAGAACATATTTCCCTAATAAAGGAGAAAGGACTTGTGTTACATTCACGTCATATGTCCCAGAAATGTAGAATAAACTCAGCCATGCTAAAAACAGTGGAACAAAGCACAGAGAAGAGGGATGGGGCTCCATCTAATATGTTGCCCTGATCATTATCCTTTTTGTAAAAAGACTCTCAGCCCTTCTCTGCTCATAAACTAGGGTCTGAAATTCTCAGAGCTAAGAGGTAGCACTAAGGTACTTCTTATATGTCTGCTATTATAGGTTGCATCTGTAAGATCATCAATTATAACTATCTTACAAAACACCAAATTCAATTCTCATTTTTCTTTCATAGTATTCTTTTATAAGTTTTATTAATTCAAACTGAAGCTCTTTGCTAAAATTAGTCCTTTTATATTACAAAATGCTTTTAAGCTCAGAATTTAAGCCTTTTCTCTAAAATCCAATAAAACAAATCAGAATCACTACTGCCAAATGAGAATAAACAGGGACATATAAAGGGAAAGTAAATTCATAAGTCTTCCATGGATTCAGTTGGTTGAATAGTTTGCAGGAGATTTAAACTTTTAAGTTCTATTTGATGACAAGAATAGAACCAGCCAAGAATTCTCTCAAAGTAGTTGCTAACATATATTACCATTACTAACTTGCCATTTGAATGAGAACTTTCTCCTCTAAACTCACATTTTATATAGATGGTTGATAAACATTCAACTGACCCATAACATTTTACACCAATTTGCAAATACAAGTTATGGATTAATCTCAGGCAATTATAGGAACTACCAGGGACAAAACCTCTTTCAGAAAGATAGCTTCTATGTGCCAAATTCTGATACAAATACTTCACTTTCTAGTCAACACTGAATTAAAAGCAACTTCTTGCAATTTATGTTTTTGACTTATCTTTTATAAAATGAGTGAAGTATAGAAGTACTATAATGAAACCTACAAATGTAGCTAGGAAAGTTGTTCATACAAAACTAAAAAATATATTATTGAGAATTATATTAATTTTTCAAGATTCTTAAAGATTTTAAGTAATAGAGAAGGGTTGAAAAACACCAAGAAAATACTATCTAAGCTTTACAAGAGAAAAGACGACTAGCCCATAAACTTGAAGTGTGTTACTTTACCCTTGTCTACTCTGAAAAACAGTTTGCCATTACAAGATTAGAAATGTGTCTTATAACTGTCTGGTAATCCTATGTATCTCACTCAATAAGAGATATACTTAAAATGAACACCAATTAAACTGACACCTACCTGTGCTTTCTGAAGCAGTTCAATTGTAAAAGGAAGCCAATCACGAGTGACTTTCTCCATTTCCAAACTAACCATGGACAGAGCAAGCATGGATCCTTTGAATTGAAGAAGTTGGTTGCAGGCCATACAGTGAAGTAGTAGCTCGGTTAGGATATCCAAATGTTGAGACGGGTTGTGTCTGGGCATACTAAAAAGGAACTGAGGCCTATTTGACACAGCAATGGCATGGAACTGGGGGGGGAAAAAATCACAAGATCATTCTGGTTTTACTTATATATTTACGTAAAGTATGTACAAAAACTGATGTAACCTCAGGTATTACTCAATTTTTAAGTTTGTAATTTTAGATTCAGTGATTTGACATATATCCTAATTTCTACTTTTTCCTTGGTTAGTTGCAGTAATTACCCTTTTCCTAAAAATCAGAACAAAACAAATGAGCAGGCAATCTACTTTCCAAGTTAGAAAATAATAAATAAATTTGGTGTTATTTGGTGAAAAGGACTACTTATTCACTTCAGGTATATTTACTTCAGGTATATTTATATATAAATAAGACTTCAGGTATATTTACAATGTGAAGAAAATCCAATGGTGTGGCTGTGTGAAGATCCCAATTCAACTTATCCAGAATAATTCTCTCCATCCTCAGAATTTCAGATGCAGAACATCCACAGAAACTGTCTCTTGCCAACACCTTCAGTACTGGAATTCTCTATCCAAAGCAAAGGATAATGGGACAGGGATGAAAGCATAGAAAAAAATAAACTCATTTAAAATTTTTGCTTCGGGAAACAAAAAGCCAATTAATTAATGGAGAGAAATTCTCAAAAAAGAGACATAACTGATTTTTAAAGGAAAATATTTACCTCATCCTCCTCAACAGTCTTGGCGGCTAGGAAAAAACAGCTGATTCCAATACAACTCAAGTATTTTGGGTGGGCCTAAAATTTTCAAGAGGGAAAAAAGCAACTTCAGTGATTCTTCAAAAAGTTAAAGGAGTTTATTTTTAAAAACCAGATATGCAGATGACACAAGTATGCATACATTCAATAGAATTCAATTAATCAGACTCCACCCATTGCTTTCTAAGATCAGAGCTAACTTTTAACTTCTCAACCCTAGCCATATGATATTCTATGAAAATACTAGGTTCATTCCATTACTGGAAGTTCAACCAATGCTAATTAGCTAAAGTTCATTTCTATCCAGCAGAGAAGAGCTTGATTTTAGAAAACAATTTTTAATAAATAAAATCCCCCAAATAAAAAATACATGTGGGGCTGGCCAAGTGGCTTAGTTGGTTAAGAGCTCGCTCAAGAGTGCAAGCTCTGAGCAACAGCGGTTCGATTCTCAGAACGAGCTGAGTTGCCGCTGAGCTGCCAACAGGAGGCAGGATGGCTCAGCTAAAAAACAACAAAAAACAACACACAAAAAATGTGTGTGTACGTGTATTTTTAAGGTAGTTTTATTCCCTTTACCCATCATAACAGTAAGATAAACATACTAGGTGTTAGGGGAATTAAACAGGAAGAAGAAATATAAAAAGAAGGCTATTAATATATTTCAAATGCTTTGAAAATTATAGGATGATAGCAGATGAGTAAGAATATTCTAATTAAGTGTCCCCCACACAGAAAAGTATATATTCAAGTTCCATGGTAAGAACGAAATGCTCCTAAATATAATATATACAGAATCAATTAATGGAGGAAAAAAAGATCTTGAGTTTGACACCCACAGGAGGGTTTGAATTTATTTACCGGTTTTCTTTATCTACAATAAGATTAGCCCACTTTCTACCTTATTGATAGAATAAGGGTTTGCCAACCCAGCATCAGAATCCAGTTTTAAATAATCAGAACAATTTAGTCTGATCAGATTGAGTGACACAGAGCTTAAGTTATATAACACAAAGAAAACCTGTTTCAACATGTATTTTCTATTTAAATATTACATTCATTCTTGTGAAACTGGTGAAGCCTTCTGATGGCTACAGTACAGCCTTTATTTATTTGTTTAGTAAACATGTCAATGACCATTGCCTTAGTATAACTGGCACACTGTCTAGGAATCTTACAATCATCTGCTTGTATGAGATAATAAAAGCTGGCTCAAGACTATTAATTTTAAAATAATAATTAATGCTAATAAAAACATTACAGTTTAGAAAGTACTTCCATAAATATTGTCATGTCTATTATGTCTTCTTTTTACAGATGAGAAGTCTCAGAAGTTAAGGGACACCACACAAGTCATCTAGGAAGTGAGTCAGACTTGTTGCTAAGATAGTTGTCCAGGCTTCCCTATACAACATGTATACAACATATCAAACCCAAAACGCAAAAGTAATCAGATTTCATTACAAAGAAAAGAGCCCAACAGTTAACAACTTTGGGTAGGCAAAGCAACCCCTAAATCAGGGGCACCAATAATAAATGTAGTAAAAAGAATCCCAATAGCAAATGTGTGATTTTGTGTAAAAAAACAAACAGTAGTTCTCAGTCCTGAATATACATCAGGATGTATTCTTTAAATACAGACACCCAGATCTCACCTAAAGATTCAGATTCACTAGGTCTGGGATAGGTCTCAGGGTCCACACGTTGAAAGAGCTTCATAGCACTTTACTGTGCAGTTAGGAGGAAAGCTACATTCACTGTTGCAGCCCTTTCATGGTCTTCTTGAAGTGCCTTAAACTATGACTACATTCTGTGTTTCAATATAGACTATACCTAAGTAAGAGTATCTGATGCTATTAATATGACAGGACCCATTAAGTAAGAAACATGAAAAAATGAGATTACACTTGGCAAAATTCTCTAATTGTTTTAGAAACTTGCCCAAATCTGTTTAAAATGTTTACTATCAAGGTCAGTAGCAATCTTTTCTATGATAGACACTATAATAAGCTCATTAATAATTTTTGAAGAATATACAACCCAAGAAAGGACACTGACCTTAAACACAGCTTTCTCTTTCTCTGTGAAAGGAAGGCTAGTTGTAGTAGGGAGCTGGGGGGAAGGGGGGGGGGCGGAAAGACTTGATACTGAGATAAAAGTAGGCATCTCAGATAACCCAGATTTCAGGCAATCAGTATCATTAAAATTAAGGGTTCTTTAAGTCTCTTAAGAGTAGAAGTTTGAAACATATAAAGATAACTGAACAGCCATCCAAATTCTACAGCTTCTATTTTTTTATACCGAATAACAAAGAGCATAGTACCCCCAGCTTACATATTCCTAGGCATACAAAATGACAACAACTGAATTGCTTTTCTACTTTTTCATGCCTTCCCATTAAATACATGGTGACTTTCTGTTTGAAATCTGTTGAGGGCCTACTATGACTCATTTTGCATAATCCAACAGTATACCAACAGGAATAATATAAAACTTATTCATATATTTGTATGCTGCCATTCAACAAAAATACACCAGTTAGTTTACGACAGTTCAATTCATCTTGTTATGATCCAAATGTATATCTCTAGAAAGTATTTATACATTGTACAGAAAACCACACAATATTTAATAACTAGAAGTGACAGAAAAATGTGCAATAGGCTTATACTCTTCTAGTCTGATTCACTGTCCACATCTAGAAGATGACTAAAAAACATTCTGCCAATGCTATATGGCTTGTATTAAAATCAGATAAAAAATTTCATAGGTTAAGTGTAAGTTATACTTAATAACTTAATATAAGTAGCAAAAAAAAAATAAGACTACAATTAGAAACATTTCTGAAGATCTGAAGCAGTTGAAGACATCATGTCGTCTTGTAGGTACATATATCATGTCCATGAAGATTTTCCACTTCTTTCCATCGTATAGAATGTTTACTAAAGGCCCCTGGTTTAGCATATAAACCTTCAAACAAGAGGTTGTGTTTAAGTGTATCCTGAAATATTTACCTTTACGGTAGCTAAAAATCTGTCCAAAAGACAGCTAGCCAGAGCAAATGTTTCTGGGTAAAGTTTGAACTGGTACTTGAGTTTGACCAGCCACTGAATTACTTCATCTCTTTGGGATGGAGAAACATTCTATAAGGGAACAAATAAAGATAAAATTAAAAGAGAACAAGTGAAGTTTCAAGTTATCATCAAGAATATGTTTAGAACTCTCTCTTATAAAAGGTTAGTAAATGCTATGGAATACATGTTTATATGTTAAAAAAATGTTTTTATGTTTATTCAAAATCTATCAAATGAGGTAAGTGAAGATAAAACTTTATATACTGGGTACAGCATTTATTATCAATATCCAATATACTCACTCTTTATCAAATAAAATTTTGTCATCAAATAAAAACTATGTCATCTCACCATCTATCTATACTTTAATTAAATTGAGGTGTTCAGGGAATATAACATTTTAAAGTTTAGGTAACAATGTTATCAACTGATAGTAATTTTGGAATTAAGTTTTCTTAATTCTTAAGAAAATATTGTGATTTTCTTTCTAAGGCAGCAAATAGCCATTAAACAATCTGAGGAAATAGAAATAGACTATAACAACATAATAAAAGCCCATTAAAAACAAAACTAAAGTCAACAGGGGTAAATTAAAGATACCAGAAACAACAGAAAAATTACACATTTAAAGAAGGGGAAATTCATCTGAACTAACTTAACCACTGCAGAGATTATTATACAAGCATAAAACATTTTTGCTGTTTTAATCTTCCTACATATTATTTTTAACTGAGTATAGTCTTAATTTTCAGAATGTACACACTTTAAAGCAATGATGATTCAAATACCTTTACTTGAGTTTTGCAGGCACCATAAAAATAAAACAAAACGAACCCTAATAATACTTAATCTACTAATAGTAAATGAAACAGAGCCATATGAGCACTACTTCAGCCAGGTAAACACAACAAAGTACAGAAATTATTCTGAGTAGTGCAAGAATATTTTCAGTGAGGGCTCTAAACAAGTAAAGGTGTAATCCAAGGTTTGCACTCATAACCATTTTTTATGGAAAACTCTTAAAAAAATATATGACATCTCATTCTTTAGAAAGTATAGAGACCATATCTTAAACCTTTTTCCTAATCAGTCAGGATCAACTTTATGAAATTAGTTCCTATCACAGAGGGGGGCATTAAGAGATATGAAAGCATGAAGGGCTGTATATCTTGACAATATATCTCCTCAAACAAATATTTCAGTTGAAATTTCTTCTCTCCTTCCATTTGGATTTCTTTAGTGTTGTGAGAAATACATGACTTGGTGGTCATTATAATCTCTGCCATTCCATGGGCTAATTTTCTTCTCTTATTTTATTCCAAGCCCTCTGACACTTTTTAGCTTTAGCACAACAAAGTAAAGTGTTCCTTTATACTGGCCAAACCAACTAATCACACATCTAATTTTTACATCTAACTCTAAACTCAGTTATAACTGGTATTTTATAGATCAACTGCCATACATTCACTTTCTGGTCAATTCCTTTTGTCAAATAAAGACTGACCCTAGAATACTGCATAAGAAACACTGACAAAAAATGAGATAAAGGGTTTACAACCTCTTATATTAACATCTTACCACTAAGCTAGTGTTAAGACTCTGAACAATAATCTGAAAACATCTGGCAATCAACATTTAATTCAGTTCATATTAATGAACATTAAGTGTCTATCATTTGACAGGACCTGGGAACACAATGATGAATGAATACTCCCCGTTTAAACTTCAAAACTTAAAGTCTCATGGTGAGGCAAACAATCAGAAAATGTGAAAAAAACTATGATAAATGTTAAAACAGAGGTATGCACAGGGTGCTAGGGCTATACCCTGGAAGGGCACCTGGCCCAGTGTTGGGAGTAGAGTGAAAGCTTAGAGGAGACAGTAAATAACTTGAATCTTAGAAGTAAAAAAGTGAGGGGAGGGAATAATTTGCAAAGCAAGGAAAAGAGCCACCTTTTTGAGTCTGAACTTTATTCTGAAGGATAGGAATGATATCAGCCTGGAGGCAATAACCTATTGTTAAACTCCTCCAACTTCCAATCAAACTAAGGTGGGTGGAAAAGATGCTAGGAACCATACTCTGAAATTCGGTAATACAATTCCATGAATCAAAAAGAAACATCAAGTGGTTCATGGGACTGAAGTTGTAGGCCTAACAGGTTCTGGGTGCATAGAGTAGTAGGTAAATTTATGTCCTGCAGAGACTATTGTTCAACATGGCAGAGGAAACTGGAGTTAGGCTAATACAGCCAGGAGTTGGATTCTCCCTCTACAAAGAGAGTCTGAAAAAGGCGGCAAAACACTACTACATGAAGCTATGGCTTCTCCAGGAAGGTGAGAGGAAGCTGACACAGCCCTACAGCTAGGCCCTGGGTAAAGCAGCTGTCAGCATGGTCATTGGTTCTACAATATCCCATTTTCCATACAGCCTTGTGGTGCTACTTTAAGATCTGGTTCTTGACTAGGGGTCTCTAAAGGTCCCTGGGAACCACGTGAAGGCAGTCACAAAACTTCTAGATGAAGAGAGTTAAGCATTCAAGAGAAATTAAATTCCTACCAAGATGAGTTTATATCTAAAATGCCAAAACAAATAAGAAAGCTAATGTTTACTAAGCCATCCAAACAAGTCAATGACAAGGAAATAAATTCACAAATGGAGAGGTAGACAGTGATACAATCTAATGAAACTTTTAGGGAGGTGAAAAAACAATGATCTAGAGTAGCAATGAGGAATAAGAATACCATTAATTCCACCTTTAAGTCAGATGGATATAGGAGCACAAACATCCCTAAATGACAGATTGTATTACATAATGTGACTATTTTGTGTCTCACATTAAACAAATAACATAAACATAGAATTGTAAGAAGTGTCACAAAAGATGGACATAATGTGCTGTAAGTATGTAACACAAGGGAACACAGTTATATAGAGATTTCCATGTCATAGTTTTAACTAAATGGTATAAGTTATATAAATTGCAAACAGAATACAAAAGGTACTCAAATGTTAGTTTCATCTTTTCCCACCTCTAAAAATACCTGATGCTCTAGTAACACCAGAAAAAACAAAATTAAAAAATATTACATGTAAATAATTCTTTTAGGGTCGGCCAAGTGGTGTGTGGGTTAAGAGTTGGCTTGGGATGCCAGCTCTGAGCAGCAGGGCCTGGGTTTGGATCACACATGAGGGCCAGTGATGCTGCGCCCTCTACAGCTAAGATGGTGAACAACAGCTCGACCTGGAGCTGGGCTGCCGTGAGTCACCAGCAACGGCGTAGGCTGCAGCCCCTGCTGCAGTGGGCTGCTGTAAGCTACTGTGAGTGGCCTGCAGCCGGCGTGAGCTGCCAAGAGCCGCCGTGAGCAGCTGTCCAGTGTCCAGCGCCCGATCTGCCTCACCCGGGAAGAGCGCAATGATGATACCAACATGGGCCAGTGAAGCGATGTCCTCCACAACTAGAATGAAGAACAAAAGGATAGCAACTTGTCTGTTCCCCTTCCCTGATTCCCCAATGCTATTCCCCTCCCCCAATTCCTGAATTTAAAAAAATAAGTAAAAAATAAATTAATAAAAATAACAATTATTTTAAACCAATTCAATTAGTTATGAAAGAGATCATAATATCTTTGAACTTTAATCTACCTTATACTAAAATTTGAGAATTGGGCCAAGAAAGCATTCCTACATGGCTAGTATTATCATCAGTAGCCCAAACTAACAATAACAACAAAAAAACATGCAAAAGCTAATAGTTTGAGATGACTCACTCTTAGTAAAGTGACAATGATTCTAAGATCATTTTTTCAAGTAAATTCAAACATGTACTAAATAAGCAGTAATATTATCAGAATAGATTTCTGAAAGTTAAGTTTTGTGCCTAAGTAAAGCCCTTCAGAAAAAAGGAAGGGAGGGAAGGAAGGAAGGAAAGGAGGGAGGGAGGCCACCCAGCTGGCCTACCTGCCCACCCACCTGCTAACGTTAAATGGTATTTCCTGATTAAGGAATCTGTTTTCTCTTATAATGGATTGCTTAAATAGGGTTAGGATGGTTCATTAAGTTGGTTAATGACTATTCCCAAAGAGAATTGATTCAACATGAAAAAAAAACAGGGTTTTATATTCTAAATGCTATTCTGATAATTAAAGACAAATCTTCCCCAACTTTAAACACTAAAACATTCACCATTACCTGAAAGATTAAGTACAATCCCCCAGGCATGGCATATAAATCCCTCTGTGACCTAACCCTCCAGTCATCATGCACACCTTCTATCACTTTTTGCCTTGAAATTCATACTGTAAGAGTAATACTTGTATTTATGGTTCTTCCTTGCTCCTACCACGCTATTTTTACATCACTGTTCCTTTGCTTATACTGTTCTCTCTGACTGGAATACACTTCCCTCTCTCTTTAACCTGCCTTGTTATTTACCCTTCACTATTTCAATGGTCACTCCTCACCAGATACTTTTCCTGATAACTCAAGTTAGGTGAAGTAACTTTCTGTGTTCCCACAAATCTCTTGCTACACCTGTTAAGTTCAACATTTTTTTTTCTTAAATTCTTTTTCTGCTTTTGGCTATGACGGAGTAAGTAGCAGCAAACCTACACTCCAGCTGAGAACAACTAGAAAAACTATTAACAACAACAAAAACAAAAACCTGTTTTAAACACACCAGAACTGCTGGGACAACCAGGCCTTAAGGAGACAAGATTCTGGAGAGGAGGTAACAAGAAGAGATGAGTCCACATTCTGCAGCAGCTTTTCCTTCAGGGCATTGGCCCATCCTGTGAGTATGGCAAGTGGCTGAGTATGAGCAAAGAAACTAACTGGGCTTTGGGGTGTCTTACAAGTCTAGAGACAAAATCTGGAGACTTGAGGAGTCAAGAACCTAATAGGGAGGGTGACGGCCAGGGAGCTGAATGTGACACTCAGTAGATTTTAACACATTTTCTGAATGAAATTCTGAGGTTGGGAAGGATAGGGACCTAAGAAGCTAAGCAAAAACTCTCTGAGAAGCAAGAATGAGTTCAGGGGAGAGTTCAGCGCCCTTCAGAAACGACGGGTCCCAGTGAGTACTCCAGGCACTCAGCTGGAATCCTTGGCTACACTCTAGGAGTTGGGGCAAGCCAAAGGTAGATGAAGTCATGCGCAACTGCAAACCAGCCTTCAATCAGCGCAATCCCTCACTTGATTAAAGAGATTGATATCCTACTCAGTTTGTCCACTAGAGGGAACACTGAACCCTTCTGCAGAAAGGTAAATCTAGAGCCTCTACAGTTTTTCATAGTGTCCAGCATCCAATCAATAATTAGCAGGTATGACAAGAGAAAAACCCCAAATGACCAAAATCAAGAGAAAAAACAGGGAGGGAAGACAAAAAGATCTAGATCTTTGAATTGTTAGAAAAGGACTTAATATACAAGAAAATAGAGGAAAAGAAGGAAAATAGATAAAAACATGAAGAATTTCACTAGAGAAATGAAAACTATAAAAAAAATCCAAAGGGAAATTCCAGAGCTGAAAAATATAATAATGGAAATTAAGAACCCAATATGTGGACCTAACAACAAATAAGACATGGATGGACAGCTATGCTTTGAGGAAAATTTATAGCTCGAAATGCACATATTAAAAAGAAAAATTTTTAAAAAGAAAAAAAAAAAAAGAGGAAAAAAAAAAGAAAAAAAGCCAGAAAATCAATTATTTAAGCATCTACCTGAAGATAAAAAACAGCAAATTACACCAAGAAAGTAACAGAAGCAAATAATGAAAATAAGAACAAAACTTAAAAAAAGAAAAAAATATACAATAAGGAAAATCAACAGAGCTAAAAGACTAATCAACAGACCTCTAGACAGAGTGATCAAAAAAGAAAAAGCACAAGTCACCAACTAAGAAATGAAAAAGGGAACATCACTATGGACCTTTTATATGCAAAAGGTAAGCTTAAAAACATTTTATTTTACTATATTTACCAGCACTTTAAGCTCACCCACATTTTACAATTAAGTATGGCTTCTACTAGGCAAATCCTAAAGTAGATCCCTCTTAGAAGTTGATACTGTTCTGTTTTCTGGTATTACCTTAGTAATATAGAAGAAACAGGACAGATTAAATGACAATATAGCAATATACTACAATCTTCTTGGAATATCACCTTCAAAGACCATGCTGTAAAATTACGCCATTGTTGGTTACATGCCAACTCAGGAGAAGGAGGATAGGAATGGTTCTTGCGGGCAGCTGTAATAAAGCTTTGAGGCTTACAAGAATGTCGGAACATAAGGGCAAGGATTTGTTTTTCTGTTTCCCCTAATACCTAGAATAGTGTATGGAATGTAGCAGGTACGTAATAAACATGGACTGAACAACTGAATCTGTAAATAAACTAAAAGTCACACAAGCACATAAAAACAAAAAATGGAAAACAAAGACTAACGGGAAGAAAACTGCCTCAGGCCTAAAGAATAACTCTACTACGTATTAGCTACTCTTGAGCAAATTGGGACTACTGCCTATTTCAAAGCATTAAATGAAATATTAAATGTGATAGCAAACATAAATGCTCCTAGCACAAAAGGTATTCAAGTTAACGAATCCTCAATTTGCTAAATGACAAATCAGTAACAGTAAATGGAAAACATATCTTCAGCTTGTGGGAAAGAATGAAAGAAGCAGGCTAGAGTTAGAAAAAGCATACAGGTTTCAATAACCTATGAACAAAGGTTAACCTAAACCAGCACAGGAGGAACTTAGATTTTGCTCTTCGTTCGCCTACACATATCAAAAATTTCTTGGCCACATTCTTTATCCCAAGCACAGTGCTAGGTACTAGGGATAAAAATATGTGTAAGACATCTTATACTGTAAGCTTTTGGAGTGAATAAACTTCATAGTTATTTGTAAAAAATAACTAATATAATAATATGATAGAAATATAAAAATTCCTAAAAGGCAATGACCAACAGTAATTGAGAGGTCAGTTGGCTATCTGCCTAGGAGCGTCCAACACTGGCAGTAATTTAAACTCCTTATAAATATACAAGAAAGAAAGAGCAATTTTTGTTCCCTAAAGACAATGATATATGTTCAGCTTCCATGGCTAACTATGTAATCTAGAAATAAAAATGACTTACAATTGTTAGTATTGGACTATGAGGAAAGAAAAGATATATCTATTTTCCTAAAGCTGTAACTTCAGAAAAAAACAAAAACAGTTCATTCTTATTTTGTTTCAGAAAAAACAAGATGTTTCTCTAATAAAGAATACAGCATATCCTTTAATGGTATGTATTTCTCTAGTGCATATCAAAATACTACTATATATGAGAGTAGTACACTTATTTCTAATAAGTCATCTATATACAGTGAAAAGAAAAATCATTACCTGGTTTGTGGGCATTTTCGGCACATTTACCTTCCACATCTGGGCTTCCCTAGAGAGTGCCTTTTCCAACATGAAAGACAATCTCTGGTTTTCCAAAGGCCCTGTAAACTTCATGATATCCTTTGGATCTGCCTGCCTCCCAGCTTGATGTAGCTACCTATAAAATCAAATATAAAACAATGCTCTTTATTTAATTATAGAATAAGTGTCACATTGTATAAATATGTTGGTTCTTAATAAGCAATTCATAAAACAAAGTAAGAATGTTACAAGGCAGTATAGGATTTTATAGCTCTTTAAATATATATATTAAAGTGTTGCAGCAAGTTATCTAAAGCATTCTCACTTTAAATTTGAAACTCAGTTATAAAGAGAATAAAAACACGGCCATATAACTGACAGAATATTTGGACTCCGATCAAAACATTATTACTATATAAAAAATGTTTAAGTCATGAGTTTTTTATACTAGGAATTCTTAGAAGTAGTTGTCCCAAATATTCCCCTTAAAATCTAATCAGATAAGGGCTGTTAACCCTTTTCTTCATTAAAAAGTTTCATAAATTATATTAAATCCCACCTATTCCCACTTAATCAGTATGGAACCATCCCCTTAAGTATGAAATCATCTTTTTTCCACTTTAAAAAATTAGTTTTGGGCCGGCAGAGTGACGCGTTGGTTAGGAGTTGGCTTGGGATGCCACCTATGAGCAGCAGGGCTCCCATTCAGATCCCACATGAGGGCCAGTGACGCTGCGCCCTCTACAGCTAAGATGGTGAACAACAGCTCAACCTGGAGCTGGGTTGCTGTGAGTCGCCGGCACCGGTGTAGGCTGGCAGCGGGCATGCGCTTTCGTGAGCCACCATGAGCGGCCATCCAATGGCTGGTGACCGACTGCCTCTGCCAGGAAGAGTGCAATGATAATACCAACACGGGCCAGTGTAGTGATGTCCTCCACAACTAGATTGAAGAACAAAAGGACAGCAACTTGTCTGTTCCCCTTCCCCTGATTCCCCAACGCTGTTCCCCTCCCCCAATTCCCCAATAAAATCTTAAAAAAAAAAAATTAGTTTTATTTGATTTTTTCACTAATACATTCTCATGGTTCAAAAATATGCATAAAAAGCATAGAGTAAAAAGTCAGTATGAAAGCATCTTGAAATGAGCTTCCAATATACTGTCTGTCCACTAGCCTCACATGTGGCTATTTATATTAGAATTGAATAAAGTTAAAATAACTCCTCAGTCACAATAGCCCCATTTCAAGTGCTCAGTAGCTACATGTAGCTAGTGGATACTGCATTGGACAGTGCAAAAAAGGAACATTTGTATCAATGCAGAAGTTCCATATAACAGCGGGGATAAGAAAGCTCAACAGTAAGGTGACAGGCACTCTAAAACAAGCACAAGTCTAAAGAGCCACAGTTGAGATCAGTGAAAGGCAACTGAGAGTCCAAGAGAAGTATCTCTGGGTTTTAAAAAAAGGAAACTACAGATTTGAGAGTTATGATTGTGTGTGCAGAAAAATGGATTAAACTTATGTAGAATATGAAAAGACTTAACTAGATTTGATGAAAACTAAGCAACTGAAAAGGTAATTAATTTCAGGAAAAAAAGATTATGCAAGAAGGTAAATATAATAATATGCCACAATATTTACCTAGCATTAATAATGAAAATACTAAATAGGGATTCAACAAATATTGGGACAATGAAGGGTGTTGGGAGACCTTAGAATGAGAGCCGCACCTTTACATTTCATAGTAAGAAAGCCATAAATATTATCTAAAAATAAAATATCAAAAAACAGCAGTAAGGCAAGTTATTTGAAAATATGATCTTGAATAACGAGAACGAGGTTAAGAGCTGAAAGTAGTTAATTTCTAGGGAGTGAGAAAAGGGTGGTGAAGCCCTGCAGCAGGGGAATGCTGCTTTTCATTATAAACCTCATATAACTATTTCACTTTCTCAGTTGTGTACCTGGATATGTATGAGCGCTTCAGTCACAGGCTTAAAAAAAAAATTACATGTCTAGAATTAACATATGGAAAGTTCCAAATTTTTGATAAAAATTTAAAATTAATTTGGAAAAACAAAAAATAACAAGCCTCTTCTTCAATTTCCACATCCCCTCAACTCTAGCTACTACTATCTTCTTTCCTATTATTACTTCACATACATACTTCACCTACTTGCTACTCAACCTACTGGAGACTACCTCCAGTTAACTGGATTATGATTTTTTTTTTTTTGCTTCTTTACACTTCTGAGTTTTTGCAAATTTTCTATAATGAGCACAATGTTCTTTGCATACTAAGAAAAAAAAAGGTAAATAATTTACAGAGGGGAAACAATAATACCTACCCTGAAAGACCAATTTCAAAGGTAATTTCTTCCAACTCTTGATTCTCTAATCTGGTGTGATTTCTCTCCCTCCTGAAAGCAGCTTCCCATTACCTAACCTACCATAAATTCCTTTGTGGTCACATCTACCAATGTCATCTTTCTATTACTCACTGCGCTTACAGCACAGTATCCTGATGAAATAGGGACTCAACCAAAGGTTCCTTTCAACCTTTGGGGCCCAAAACAAAAACAGAAGAAAACAAAGCAAACCCAAGTCTAATCTATCATGAGCAAGCCAATCCTTCACATGTTTGAAGGCTGCTAATGATAACACCAATTCATCTTTTCTATAGCGGAAAAACTGTTTAAGGGTTCCTCATATGACACAATTCTTGCTCTTCTAAATTAGCACCAGTTTAATTATATTAATGGAGTCAAGATCATTAGCTTTTTTTTTTTTAGCTATTTTTTTGGAGACCACACCACACTATCAATTCAGATAGAATTTATGGTTAACTAAATAAAAAACTCTTAAGACTTTCTAAGGCAAACACCCCTTCCACCTGTCCCACCCAACTGTGTGTGAGGTTTTGGTGCCTTTTTGGTACATTCTTGTTTAGGACCTTAAATGTATTCTAAAAAAAAAAAAAGTTATATTAGATTCCATCCATCTACTGTTATATTCTGCTGAGATGTTCTAAGATTCCAATTGTATTGCCTTAGTACTTTTCTCAGATTCTCCACAATTAGATGAACAGACTCACTATAATTTCATCTAAAGCAGATATAAATATTAACCTTAGAAATGAAGAATAAAATAGATGATCATCTGTCAAGAAATACTTAGAAGAAACACCTATATTGAATGGAAATTGAACTTCATATATTCTAAGTTTCTAAGTTCTTCTAAACCTAATTTTAGTCTGTAATTTATTAGCTTTTGTCAGAACTTCAACCTTACTTACCTAATGATCTCACTCCATTAGCTACACCCAACAAGGTGTCTCACCAGGATTTCAGCCTTCTCAACACATTCCAATGGCTGGCTGCCCCTAGTGAATAGTCTTCCCCTACAAGGCTTCCTTTGAAGATTTTTAGGGGGGATAGAGAGGCACCTATAGGATACAATCATGTAAAGAATAATATTTAAAGGATTCCTGTTCTCCAATCTCCTAAATTAAGGTCCTTAGTAGACTTTCAAATATTTAGATACTTTAACAACTTTTTTAAAACAAAGAAATCTGGATCAAAGAAGAAATGAAGAGAAATTAGAAAATACTTTGAGATGAATGAAAAAGACAACCTAACATACCAAAATTTATTAGATGCAATGAAAGCAGTGTTTAGAGGGAAATTAAAACCTGTAAATGCCTATATTAAAAAAGAGCTCAAATCGAGCCGGCCGAGTGGCTCAGTTGGTTAAGAGCTCACTCAAGAGTGTGAGCTCTAAGCAACAGGGTCCCCGGTTTGATTCACAGCCTGAGCTGAGCTGCCGCTGAGCTGCCAACTGGTGGCAGGATGGCTCAGCTAAAAAAAAAAAAAAGTTGAATAAAAAAGAGCTCAAATCAATGCCCTAACATTCTACCTTAAGACACTGGAAAAAGTAGTGCAAACTATACCCAAAGCAAGCCAGAAGAAATAAAATATTAGAGAAATTAATAAAGAATGGAAAAATACAGAAAAATCTATAAAACCAAAAGTTGGTTCTTTGAAAATATCAACAAAATTGTCAAACCATTAGCTACATTGACTAAGAAAAAACAGAGGATAAAGTACCAAAATCAAGAATAAAGAGAGGACACTACCACCTACGTTACAGAAACAAGAGATTATAAAGGAATTTTATGAACTGTATACAAATAAATTGGACAATTTAGATGAAAAAGACAAATACCTACAGCCATAAACTACCAAAACTGATTTAAGAAACAGAAAAGCTGAATAGCCATATAACAACCAAAAAGATTGAATTTGAATTAATACACAAACTATTGTCAAAGAAAAGCCTATACCCAAATGGCTTACTTCACTGGCAAATTTACAGAAAAAGTAATACAAATTCTTCACAAACGCTTCCAAAAAGTAAAAAGGAGGAACACTTCTCAACTCATTTTATGGGGCCAGTTATTAACCTGCTACCAAACCCAAACAAAGCAACAGCACTAGAAAACTATAGACCAGTATCTCTTCTAAATATAGAGAACTCAACAAAATACTAGCAAATTGAATCCTGCAACATAAAAAGAATTATACACCATAGCCAAATGTGATTTAGCCCAGGAATGCAAAGTTGGTTTAACATTGAGAAATCAATTAATATAATACCATATCAACAGAAGAAAACAAGGATCATTCTTTGCTCACACTAAGGAAATGTGAAAAAGGAAAAAGTTCTAATTCTCTTAAATTCAAAAAACTGAGATATAAATAATGCAAGTGAATGACAAAAAGGATTAAGTACCTCTGAAGGGATTTTCCAGATTAAATGAGGCTAGAGAAAAATGAAAGGGCAGTATCTCACCCTAGACTGGGCCCTGTACTGGAGAGTTACATGCTATAAAGGTCATTAAAGGGGTCCATTGACATAATGGGAACATGGACAAAGGACAGGTTAAAGTAAATCTATCAATGTTAAATTTACTAAAGTTGATAACTTTACTGTGATTATGTAAGAGAATATCCCTATTCTTAGGAAATACACACTAAGCAATTTAGGAGTCAAGGACCATAATGTATGCAGCTTATACACACACATATGTATATATGGGGTGGGGAGGGATGACAAATGATAAAATGGGGTAAAATGTTAACAGGTGAATCCAGATAAATGGTTTCTTTGTTCTTTTTCTTTTTTTTTTTTAAATAAAGACAGACTGTCACATGTAGCGCCTCATTTGGATGTGTCTTGGAGTCTTGGAAGCTTGACTACCCTACGTTCTCCTACAAATGGACCTTGAGAGCTTGTTTGGAGGTTCTAGCAGGGGAGCGCAGCTACTCGTATACCCTTGACCCAAGAACGGTCCTCTCCTCTATCGGGGAAGGTCATGCTCTTCGACCAAGCGCGCAGCTTCGGGAGGGACGCACATGGAACGGTGAGGGAGGAAGAGGACCTGCCTAGCCAGCCAGATCAGCCGAATCAACCCTGGTGATCAATGGGGTGACAGATGTCACAGCCAGATCGCCCTCACATCCAGGGTTTCTTTCTGAAATTACTTAAAAGTAAAGTTAATGTAGAAAAGCAAAAAAAGACAATTTATAGAAGTGCTTATATTATCAGTGTATTTTTTACATTCCTTTTTTAAATCTCTAATAAGACACATAATATGACACTACAGAAAGCATTGGGTTGAGTTTTACTTCTTTCATTGAAAGAACACAAGCCTATTTTCTAAAGTATAAAACAGATTATTTAAGTTAGATGAATAATGAATCTTGCTAAGGAACAAAATACAAACACTTAAAATATCATTTTACTGAGTTTAACAGTAGGCCTAATAAATAATAATAATAGCTTACACTTGTTAAGTGCTTAACAAATAAAAGCAATGAGTGCTTACTACTTGGCCAGGTATTGGTCAGAGTACTATGCCATGTTAACTAATTTAATCCTCATACAACCTTATGAAGTTGTGGTATTATTAAGCCCATTTTAAAAATGAAGAAACATGCGCAGAAAGGTGAATACTTCTCATTTTTAAAGTATTATAAAATCAGAATAAAACATGTACAAACACTCTTAGTTTCCAATCTTGACCAAGAAACATTTTGGAGTTCCATTCTAACCTACTAGAACGTCACACTGCCACATCAAGTCAATTAACTGTAACTACAAATCATCTCTACTGCATCTTCCCAACACTTGCTGACTCTACTAGTCTGCTCTTTATCAGTATTAAGAACGTCTTCCTACTCCGGACGCTCAGTGTATCTCACCCATCTGGTCCCAGATTAGAGAACCTAAATCCTGTCCATCCATTCCCTTCTATTTCGCCTGCCACCAAATGGCCTGGAAAAGCTAGAAGCAGACCACACTACTGTTAATCTTTTCAACAAATTCATTTTCAGGACAAAGACTATATAGCAAAGTCAGAATGCTAGGGTTTGAATTCTGGCCAGGGGGTTCTAGCTGTGTCATCTAAGGAAGAAATTACTTCCTTTTGTGGAGCCTCAGTTTTCCTCATCTGTAAAATGAGACTCCTGAACTACATGCTTCCAT